TCACTACCCCGACCACCCGACAACCCCAATATTCAAGAGCCAAACAGTCAAACAAGAGCAGCCCCAATATATAAGAGCCGAAGGCGTCATCTCTGTAGAATTGACGCCTTTGGGCTTTCCGTGTCGATCTGAGCCCACACAAGCTTACATGGGAAAAGGGAGGAGAAGGAAGGAGGCTCCTCCTCCTCCCCCTCCTACTCCTCCTCCTCCTCTCCGTCCTCCGTGCGTGTGCGCGTGCGCTGTGTGCGTGTGTTTGGTTTTTCCTTCTCGCCAAACGCGAGGAGCCAACAGTTCATATCAATATGAATGTGGAAAGTGACACTCTTATAATCATAAGTCATCAAACACGTCGATAATCCATTTCAAAATCACCATGTGAGGCAAATTGTTCTTGTGGCAGCTGAGGGCTATGTCCTTCATCACTTTTTGTAAATCCTCGGCGGCGTAGTTCCAAGAGTATGATGGGTTAATCAAGTTGCACGCCTGGTCTTCCAATAAGTGCTGAAATGCGTGGCATTTCGCCGTCATCTTCCACATCCTTTCTCGTTTTGTCAGGGACTCGTCCGCGAGAGAAACATAGAGTGAAACCAAATGATGCGATAACGGCCTGATCTCAGCTTTGGCTGTTTCTGAAAAAAACATCCCTTCTTCGTTGATGATCTCATAGAAACGCTTCAATAGATTGCAGATTGTTCTCCGACGCTTGTCATGGAGGGTCCCTGAGTTATGTTGCTCAGCCAAGTCGGCCGCATATCGAGACAAATGTCGAGTAGCCGCCCCTTTTGCTTTTAACTTCGGCCAGTCCCCAGAAGTTTTGAGCCTCTCGAAAGTGAGCCTTCCTTGAAGGCGAGCCGACTCAGGGTTCCTCTTATACCAGTTCTTAATGTCGTCATGGAGGTTTTGAGTTTGATCTTGTTGGTTTCTACCCCAATGCCCTTTGCGCATAATCTCCACGAGTGCGTTCGCAATTATATGAGACGATATACCCTGGTCTAAAACGTGTAGGCAATCGAGGGCGACACCCTCCAGCCTCAAAGATTCGATCCGAAATAATGCTGGCACTGGCTTTCCCAAGATCATGAGCTCCTGAAGGTAGGTCTCGTGAGAGGCGAGCGTTTGTCGCCAGCCTCTCCTCGTCCACAGAAGGTCGGACCCGATGTCGTTCGTAGCCGAACACATCCAACACATCTTGGGTGACGAGTCCCATCTAGGAAAATCTAGCGCCTGGGTGAAGAACTCCCAATCGCCTCGGAGCATTATTACAACCCCTTTATATCCACCAGAATCCAAAGTGTTGCCGTCGATATTCCTTCCGCGCATGAGGGCGTTCATTCGCTTCGCAAGATCTGCGAACAATATCTCGAGGGTGTCGTCACTCATCTCCGACTTTTGAACAACAGTGTAAATGAAATTCGTGTCCCTCGTGGACCCCTTACTGAGGAGACTTGTCCAACTGATTGTGAAGAGCCCGTCGGTTTTGTGCGTGGCTGCGCCATCTCCATGAATTGTCAGGGGTACAGAAAACATATCATCAATGTTTTGTCGAGCCGATGTGTAAATCACATTGTTTGTCATGTTGTTCCAGAAATCTCTGATATCGCCGTCTAGGCCACGCAACTTCTTCGAAAACATTGCGTCTCCCTTCTTATAGACGCACTCCCAGAAGCAACAAGGATCAATAATAGGATGAGGCTTCAGGCCTCCTCCATCGGAGGCGATATCAATCCATGAGATCTCTGGAGCGCCGTCGGGCCAGCCAATGGCCCTGACCAAATTCCGATGTGCATGCTTGGGGTCGTCTAGCTTTTTAGCCATGCTGCCCATCCCTGCTGCTCCTTGTTGACTCGCGCCCCATGCGTACTCCAAGACTTTGTTTGCAGGTAACTTCCCCCTGGCCCAATCTCTCCTTAGCGAGTCGTTCAATGGGGTTGGTATCTTGGCTGTTGGGCCAGGGCCGGTTTGGTCGCTCGCTGCCCTGCCCCGAATGCCACGACCGAGAGGTGGTTGCGCAACGGGTGTTGAGGTCAGCCTCTGCCTCACGCCACCGATTCGTCGGGACGTTGCTGCAGGCGCAGTGTCTGGAAGATCTTCACGTGGTTCGGCGATCCTCTTTCGAATGCCGCCTTTGACCATCCCACTAGTGCCAGAGCAGAGGGCGAATACGAACAAGAAAGAAAGCTCGAGTCCAACCTTGCTCATGAAATTGACTCGTTATCGAAATATGTGTCAGAAGCTGCTTGAGCCAAAAAGCTACGGAGGACGATAGGATCGTCGTGTACATTTTGATCACGATCGATTGGCTTGTGTAGATAGCGTATCATAGCATCACATGTCTTAGCATCGTCATGGCATAGCATAGCATGAGATAGCATAGCATACCATGTTAGTAACATAGCATGGCATGCCATAGCATAGCATAGCACGGCATGGTCGCTGCATTACATTGTGGTAGCATAGCATAGACTTGCATAGCGTATCAGATCGTATGATAGCATGTCATGGCATACCATATCGTCATATCGTGGCAATTGCATAGCATAGCATAGCATCACATAGGATGGTCTGGCACATCATAGCATTCGCATAGAATAGCATAGCATGGAATGGTTTAAGGTTTTAGTGGGGGTCCGAGTTGGCCCAGGGGGGGTCCCAGGCGCGACCTCACAGGGGGGATTGTTTTAAGCGTTTAGTTGGGCTCTTTTGTGTGGTTTTTCTCTCGGCGAACCCATCTTGCTGGTAAAAGGGCCTCGATACACTCGAGGGCGCTCGCACATCGCTGCGAATCCATGCCGCGATGGTCACGCTACCGGTCATTCGCACCCGTCAGCTCTCAGGATTTGGTCTTGGCACGCTTCCCAGCGGGCACCATCCTGTCGAAGTGTTCCTTGATGTCATTGAATGTGATGTACGCCGCATCGATGGACTCGGCCAGCGACAGGATGGTTGCCTCGTCCTTGACTCTCTTGGTGACCAGCTGCTCGACCTTCGAGTAGAGGCTTACGAAGCGAGGGATGGTGGTCTTGACGTCCTCGTGTAACGCACCTGTGTACTTGTTGCCCTTGCTCTCGCCAGTGTCCTCGAACATGGTCTTCAGCGTGGTGATGGTCTGACCCAGATTGCGAAGGGGCTTGTGAGCGTCAGCCATCAGAGCGTCGAACGTCTTCTTGTGGATCTGCATCGGCGTCTGCTCCTCAGGCTCCTTCTTCACCTCTACCTCCCCAGGGGCGGGGGCGGCACTGCTGCTGGGCGCGTTGCCACCCATGACGCCAGCGGCATCAGTGATGCCCTGCAAGGCCTCCTTTGCAGCGTCGCCACTGACATCTTCCGACCCCGTGAAGGTCTGGTCGTTACGGACGTTTTCCTCGGTGCCACCTCCGTCATTCCAAATTTTGTATTCGGTTAGCCATTCCCCGTGCTTCTTGGTGACCCTGTCGGGCCTGGTCACCAGTAGTCCTGAATTTATCTGGGCCAACGCCTTTTCCTCGCCCATCGTGTCGATCATCTGTTTTTTGCTCTGCCACGAAAACAGGGCCTGGCTCTTCTGCAGGGTGACGATGGAGGCGCTATTCGTGATCGACGTCTTGACCGTTCCTTTTGCGATCTTGTCAGCCAAGTGCTTCTCGAGAAATTCTTGTTTCGCTTGCCCTCCCAACTCAGAATACAAGTCATACTGTCCAATCGATTGTAGATAGTACGCCATACTCGACCTCTGCCTCTTGACCTCGGCCTGGTCCTCGAGGAGCTTTTTGGCGGCCTCCAGATCCTTCGCGTTGACGATGGGAGTCTCCAACTCCTTAGCTGGCTTGGTGGGCTTCTTCTTGCCCTTGGGCGCCATGTATGTGATGCACAACCGAATCAGAACAAAAGAACGAGCTCGAGCTCGTTCTGGCCAGCGATCGCTGGCCAGCTTGAGCCAAAGTTGGCTAGCCCGACGGCCTGGCCGACAGAAAAAAACAGAAAAAAACAGAATCCTGCCGAGTCTGTTTTTCGCCCCCTGCCGGAATTCTGTCGGCCGCTTTTCTTGTGAAAAACCAATGAAAACTCACTGCCGGAATTCTGCCGCACCCCCCCTGGCAGACTCAACAGGATTCTGTTTTTTTCTGTCATTTTCTGTTTTTGTTTTTTTGCGCAGGTTTCGGCAGAATTTGCCGGAATTCTGTTAGTTGTGCCGGAATTCTGTTATTTTTGCCGGAATTCTGTCGTGTTTGTTGGAACCCTTTTTTGGCTTATTGCAGGGATCATGCCTTTTTTAGTTGCTTGTGGTTGTTCTGTTTTGTGATACATACTTGTTTACTCACCGCTGCCAGAAATGTCTCTTCAGACTGCCCAGAAACGTTTGCTAAACTCATGTTCGTTTATTTTTATGTCCTTATCCTGCGCATGACCGTGGGCACGCGTGCAATGCGTTTGATATGGAGCCCTATCTTTCTAGATTGGGAAGCATGCGCGCACGAAACACACGTGGGTGAGTCTTCTCCTTCTTCCTCCTTCCTCCTCATCCCCCTCCCTCCCCTCTCCCCTTCCACCCTTCGCTGGCTTCGCGACTGTCCAGCGCTACTTTGCATGCGAATCGGAGGACCGACTCCTTAGGAACGGCAGAACCCCATGCAACAGAGGCCGACGAGGGGGAATGGCGGAACACGGACATGCTGCTGACCCGTCTCGGGGGGGGGGGCCATGGCGGGGGGAATGGCGGAACACGGACACGAGGGGGAATGGCGGAACACGGACTGAGCCCCCCGTGGCTGCCCATGCACATCCTATTTCGGGCTCTCAGTCGGCTCGTCTCGCACGGCACCCTGGCCAGGAGCAGGAGTGAGGAGGGGGAGGAGGATGAGGAATTGAGATGTTAGATCGGAAGTTGCTCTGCTTTGGACGTTTATTTGGCCGCCGTTGCAGAGCATCCCGCGAAGCTCCAGAAAGAGACCCCGTACGTCTCAGTCCAAGCGAGGCGCAGGCGTTGGCGCCAGCACAAACTATAAGCATGAGGCCGAACGCGCATCAATGCCTAAAACAGGCAACAACACCTACCACGGCGGCAGCGTGTCAGGGAGCGTGTCAGGGAGCTTCGAGTCCTCGACAGGCGAGTCGTCCTGCGTCTCAGGGACGTCCTGCTTCGCATCTTTCGACTTCGGGGGCGAGACAGGGTCACTCGCGAAGCGCTTGATGCCCTTAGCATTCGCAGGGTCGGTGTAGTTCTTGATGATCGTCCGCATCTCCGAGTACTCCTTGGTGATATTGGCCACCTTCTCCTGCAGAGCAGCGGCCAAGACGCGCGTGAGCGGGACCCCGACGCACATGCTCTGGGTCTCTGCGATCTTCAGCTTCAAGTTGTCGATGTCCTCCAGCAGCTCGGAGTTGTACTTCGTCGGAGCGATGTCCCAGCAGGACACGATGGTCCCGACGTTGGTCAGGGTCTTGATATTCTCGTCGAATGACTCCTGAATCGACTCTCCTGCAGGCGGTGGCGTGTCGTCATCCACGTGGATGACAGAGCCCAGGTCTGGAGTCGGCGCAGGCTCCTCAGGATCGCAACAGTATTACCTGGAGCACGAAAGGAGGAGGAGGAGGAGGAGGAGGAGGAGGAAGTGGGAAGAGGTACGAGGAGGAGGAGGAAGACGTGGAGGAGGTATGAAGAGGAGACGAGGAAGATTCAAAAGCGGGGTGAGGAGGAGTATGATCGAGGAGGTACCCTGAAGATCCTCATCTCCCTGACAGTCCATCTCAGCGAAAATCGAGCCCCACGCCGAGGGCAGCGAGAACGTCGAGCCCTGGGAGCTGCCGATCTCAGGGTCGTCGTCCTCCACACTCCTCCTCATCCTCCTCTTCCCCTCCCCCTTTCCCTCGAGCTCCTGTGCAGCCGGTTGCGAACAAGAGGCTCGACGACGCGTCGGCTTGCCATCCGCAGACATAGAAAAGGGAACACCTGAGAACGGAACAAACTCCGACATGTCCCGTGTTGGATGGACCAGCTATCGAATACCAACAAAAGCTTGAGCCTCAATTGCTATGGACAGGAGGGCGGAATGCATATCAGAAGATGGGCAGAAGGCCCAAATCTACGCGACCACATTGGAAAGAGGTCTGGCACGGCACGCGTCGCGGCACCGCAACCGATCCGAAATGTGTTAAATTACACCACACGGCACCACAGGGCACTTGCACCATAAGAGCGGCAGACCATTACCCAAGAGCAAGTTACATTGAACATGACTGAGCTGGACTGAGCTGGACTACGGGCCCCATAGGATGCTCCGCCTGGTTTCCCAAGGAGAGTTCCCCCTGATCAGCTACTGTCGGCACGAATCCTTTACCACTATGATGGTGATGGTGATGGTGATGATGATGATGATGATGATGGTGAGTGAGTGATGGTACGATTGTGATGATGATGGTGATGGCGATGATGATGATGTTGATGATGATGATGATGGTGTTGATGATGATGGTGATGTGATGATGATTGTGACGATGTATTTTCTATGTTTTTTCAGTGGCGATGGCTTCGCACTGAAGTAAGCAAGTGGCAGACCATCCCACGGTCAGCCCACAAAAGCGAATCTGGCCTATACTTCAACGTGTTCTGGGAGGGTCCCCTCCTCGCGCATCTTCCTGCACTTCTCAGCCGCGGCCTTTCCCGCAGCACTCGCGCGGGCCCTAGCCTGCTCGGAAGTAAGCTCCAGAATCTTGATGCAATGATTTCTCTCCGTGTGCCAGGCTTTGCTGTGCTGGCGCTTCTCCCACGTGGTGAACGAAATCTTCATCTTCTCGCAAGTCTCGGGCATGGAGGGGGCCTTGGACTGCTTCATCGGCTTCATCGGCCTCTTGGTCTTCATGGCCTTGGACTGCTTCATCGGCTTCATCGGCCTCTTTCCCTTGGCCGCTTTCTCGGCCTTGATGGCCTTGTTCAGAGAGGCGAACGCCGATGGACCAATAGGTTGTTGCGGCTCTGACAGAAGTTCTTTGATATCTTCAAGCGGTACGCCTCCCACTTCACTTGCCCAAGTCGGATCACCAGTCTTGGACGTGAGCCTCGGCCGCTTCTTGTCCATCGTAACGCTGCTCTCCTGTGCCTCGGTGTTGAAAGCGGCGTCCAAGATCGCCTGGAGTTTTGGGTTCGAGCTTGTCTTAAGGTCGCTACGAGTTTGTTCTTCAGTCTCGCTCTCGATGTCCATGATTGGCACTAATGCGCGCGGCGGTGTCCCCAAACAAATGCACTCCGACTCACCGTCACTGCCTGGCGGGCCCGAGTCCTGCGCATCAGGTCCGTCCTGAGTGGTCTTGGATGGGGGGCGAACCAGGCCAAGCAACGCGCAAAACTCTTTCTGCCAGGGCCGAGGAACTTTTCTTTCTTTTGATACCATGTTGCACATCTGAGACACGATCACCCTGAAACGGTAGATGCCCTTCTCCACTTGGTCATCGGATATATGCAAATGTGTTTCTTTATTGAACTTCACCGCAGCCATGTGAAACGAATGCTGGTTAACATTGATCCCACCACTTTGCTTCAACAACGAACCCAGAGCATTCCGATAGGGGTTTGCACTCTCCCACTTGACCGCCCCCTTGAGATTCACGGAAGGGTACTGGATGAACTCAGAACCCTTGGTTGCCGTGAGTGGCAGAAGGTTCAAAACCTCGAAGTATTGTGTTTGTGTCAGGTCACAAGAAGGCCTCCTTGTTGAGGCCATGCTTTCACCAGAATCGAGCCCAAATGGCTTTGGACAGGGACGACGGGGACGACGGCTGTGGGGAGTGACGATATTGGCGTTGCGGTGGTGATTATGACTATATGATGTGATGTGCAACCCCAAATCACCCGACAGGTATTGTTGTTGTGAGCCAATAGTGCGCAACACATTGGACGGCAGTTTATTTCCAGCATGGTGTGGTTTCGTCGAACAACCGTTTGATATTATGTGGTATCATGTGGGCTAGTCTTTCGCAATTGGGGGAAAACGGAGACAGAGGTACCAAGTCTAAAAAGTTGGCGCCGCTCTTTGTTTGGAGGCTGATTTCAATGTTTTTTGGTATCGTTTTTGTGTTGTTATGGGCAAACGCTCACGTTTTTGATGATCATTGCTGGCGCCGCGCTTGATTTTAGACGCGTGCGCTTATGTTGTGACGCGTTGGGTGGTCGGGGTACCGGTTCGAACCCCCCCCCCCCTGGAAAACCGGAGGAGGGTCACTGCCGGTTCCACCTCCCTCCCCCCACGCACCGCCAGCAAACGACTCCCGGCCCCTACCACCGTCCGCATCACATCCCCCACTGTTGTTCCCAGCGCCACTGTCCTCACCACCACTGTCCCCACTGGTTCCACCACCGTCCCTGCTGTCCCCACCAGTGCCCCCACCACTGTCGCACTGTCCCCACTGTTCCCACCACTGTTCCCACCACGGTTCCACTGTCCCCACTGTCTCCACGGACCCAACCACTGCCCGACTATCCCCACTGTCCCCACTGTCCCACTGACTCCTCCGCTGTCCCACTGAGCTGTCCCACTGTTCCCACCACTGTCCCCACTGTCCCCACCACTTGTCCCCACTGTACCTCTGTCCCATTGTCCCACCGCCGTCCTCGCCACCGCCTTCACCATTGTCCCCACCACCATTGTACCCTCCACTGTCCCACTGTTTCCACCTCATTCCCACTGTCCCCACACCACTGTCCCATCACCGTCCCCCCACTGTCCACTGTCCCCCCCGTTCCCACCATTGTCCCCACCACTGTCCCCACCACTACCGTCCCCACCACTGTCCCACTGTCCCACTGTCCCCACCACTGTCCCGCTGTCCCCTCACCACTGTCCCCACCAACACCGTCCCCACCACTGTCCGCACCCCCACTCGGTTTTCGAGGGGGGGGGGGGGTTCGAACCGGTAGTGACCCCCCCGGTTTTCGAGGGGGGGGGGGGTTCGAACCGGTAGTGACCCCCCCCCTTTTCATGATGAACTGGGGGGGGGGGGGAGGGGTTCGAACCGGTAGTGACCCCGGTTTTCCGGAGGGGGGGGGGGGGAGGGGTTCGAACCGGTAGTGACCCCCCCCGGTTTTCCGCCAGCAGCGGTAGAACACGCTCTTTCCTTTATTACGAAATCTGGAGTAGGGGCGTTTTTGCATCCTTCAAGATTTGGGTATCGAAATCTCAACGGAGGCCTCACTATCTTGTCGGCTTCCGCCGACTCGGTCTCTCCCGACTTGGCTGCCGATCGCCACCGATCCGATCCATTTCGATCGTCGATCCTCCTCCTCCTCCTCCTCCTCCTCCTCCTCCTCCTCCTCCTCCTCCTCCTCCTCCTCCTCCTTCCCCCTCCTCCTCCTCCTCCTTCCCCTTCTCCTCCTCCTCCTCCTCCTCCTCCTCCTCCTCCTCCTCCGCCTCCTCCTCATCCTCCTCCTCCTTCTCCTCCTCCTCCTGGGCTGTCGAAGTCTGCTGGCGGGCTCAGCGTGGTTGTCGAACGAGTCCCTGGAGCTCCCTGAGGCTGGAGGCGCCGGGGCGTGTCCCCTTGTGCTCAGCTCTGCGCACTTCCCTCCCCTGCGTCCCTTGCACCCTCGGTCCTCAGTGTCGCTTAACCGATCCCCATCCCCATCCCCACCACAGCTCGAGCCCCACCGTCTCACCACCTCAGTTGGGGATATGCCCCTCGAAACCCAAAGAGAGCAGCCTATATTCGGGGGTGGACTGACCTCCTACCCTGACACGTCGATTAGCGAATTGGCCGTTTTCGTTTCGCGAGAGAGCGTCGCGGCCGTCATTTTTGCGGGTCCAGGTCCGTCGGTTTCGGTCCCAGGCCGTTTTCATTAAGGGGAGGTTTACTAAATGGAGGCTTGTCCACCGCCGATATATCCCCATCCAGGAGGGTAAATCGGCCAGTGGGGCCCAGCCCACGCTGGTGGGGCTGGGGATCGGTGAAACGACGCTGAGGTCCGAGGCCGTTTCGGCGGTCCACACTGGAGTCCGCCTGGTTGTGCGGGTGGGCACGGGTGCTCAACCATGGGCACCAGGCTTAAGTCGGACCTGTCCCTCTACAGGGGGAGTATTCAAAAATAGTCAAAGAATAGTCTGGGGACTATTTTGTTGAGTATTTTGTTGACCATGTTGGAGTATGTTTTGAATATTTTGCATTGTTCGTCGAAAATCCCCTTGTAGGGGGACAGGCCCGACTTAACACCAGGCCCCACATGCAGGCGGCAGACGGCAGCAGCAGCGGTGACGACCAAGAAGCGTCGCCACAATACAGTGAAGTCGCAGTCACCAGAGGGGGGAGGGCGCCGTGGCGAAGTCAGGTCGGGTCAGGTCATCGAGCGATGCATCGACAACGCTTCATCGTGATACAGAAGCCACTGACATCACGGGAAGTTCGGGGGTGAGATCGAAACATAACGGATTTCCCCCACCAGGGAATTGATTTCGATGTCCGTTCGTGTCGTGCATGAGATTCTTGTGGGCGAAGCGAGGCGAAGTTGCGCGAGCTCCTGCTCTACAGCCGATTTCCCATTCCAGCTAAATTGAGAGGCCCGTCCTGCATGTAACACGTAGAGGCTTAGTTGGGGCTCTCGAGCCTGTGCCTCAACTTCCACCAGGCGTGAGCCCGTAGAAGGCATTCGAGAATTCGGTCTCGCGTCGAGACCGTATTGGGGCCACCTCAGCGGGGGCCTATGTGAGCCCCGCCAAGACCTCGAGGTGTGTCCTGGCCTGCCCGGGCGCCACGCCGGAGCGGCCAAGGGCCCGCTCTGCCCGGCCCAGCGCAGACGCCATCCTTGCAAGCAGGGGCGGCGCACCGGCGGCAGCTTGCACCTGAACCAGAGATCACGTCAGGGGCAACGAAAGGGGGGGATAGGCATAGAGGGGGATGCATCGACCCCCAATCGCCCATTGATCGCCGATAGGGGCCCGACAGCCCCCACCTGCCCAGGAGGGTGCGGGTTCACTATCGGAGGGCTGTCGCCGATCTATCGACGATGTATCGCCGATTCCAGGTCGATGCCT